TCTTGGTACACGATGTAACTACAGAAGAGTCAGGTTTTAAATTGGAAAAATATAGAAACTCTTTGGTCATTTTTGAGCGAGATGCTAACGGTCTAATCAGACTCGATCTATGCTAAGCTACAGCTAAAAGTGCTACCGCCAGACCCGGAGATCGGCTGAATGGATTCGAAAACGGTAAAACTCAACTGTTTAACTCTAGGGGAGTTGGAAAATGAGCCTATTTTCAAAAATAGTGGAGTGTTCTTTTAAGTGTTATCCTGTGATGTGAGCAGAGAGAGACACTGACCTGTAGGAGGTGCAGGTGATCTTCAGTGTGTGAGAACTGCTCCAGCTCAGTGTTTCTCCTCTCTAGTTCAGTGATTTCCTGCTCCAGCTCTTTAATCAGCTCTTCAGCCTGATTCTCTGCTGCTTTCTGCTTCTGCTCCATCACCTCCAGCAGCTCAGACTGACAACTCTCAATGGAGTGGATCAGACTAGTGAACAGCTCAACGCTGTCTGCTTTCTCTTTTTCAGTGTTTTTCTGATTAGTCAGATTTATGAAAAGAACTTTAGTTTTTTTTGAAATGCAAACATCTTAAAAACATACACATATATATATATTTGATTTGTCAGATATTTGCATTTCAAAAAAGTTAATTTTTTTTCATGAATCTGACACATGATGATTTTAATAAACTTGAATATATAAACTTACTTTTCTGAGCTTTACTGAGTGTTGGATTTGTTCAATCTTCTTCATTCGGTCCTGGATCATTTGCTGCACATCTGTCTGAGTCTTTATCAGCTGACTCTACGGCCAGAGAATAATAATTAAAAGCAAGCTTCACAAGGCATTTAAAGTAAACAAGAGTTATCAGGTGTAATAAAACATATTTCTAAAAAAGTGTAAACATACATAAATACAAAATAATAAAGTAAAATAAATTAAAAGCTATCCTGAAAAAAAAAAAACGAGGATTACATATACAAAGATAAACTAAGGGACTGCACATCTTATTTTGAGTAACTGAGTACAAATTTTAAATGTTTTCATGTTGGTATTTCCTACCCTTTTCACTTCACTCTCCTGCTCTACAGGAACATTGTTGTGAGTCTTGTGTTTGGTCACAGTGCAGATCACACACACACATGTCTGATCATCTCTACAGAACAGCTCCAGAGGTCTGTCGTGTTTCTGACACAAATGATCCTGGAGATTTTTTACAGGATCTATCAGTCTGTGTTGTTTTAAACCTGGAACCCTCAAATGACGCTCCAGGTGAGCCTCACAGAAAGAGCTCTGACACGTAGGGCACGACTTCAGGGCTTTCTGTTTTGTCTCTGTACAGATATCACACAACACCACAGGCATTTCCAGATGATTTTTCTTTTTGTAGTGATCTACAACCTCTCTGATTGTTGTATTGACCTTGAGCTTAGGTTTTTGTTTGAATGATTCTTTACAAATTGGGCAGCTGTAGTCGTGACTGTTGTCCCAGCATTTTTTCAGACACATCTTGCAGAAGTTGTGTCCACATGGAGTGGAGACTGGATCAGTGTACACATCCAGACAGATGTAACACTGGAGCTCCTCAGTCAGAGAACCAGTGGAGGACGCCAGGGCTGAAAAAAAGAGATATAAGTGAGATACAAAAAGTACATTTCTCACATTAAATTAAAAAAAAAAACCTTCAGATCAATAATCCATTATTTTATGAGGGTTACTGACTTACAAGATAAATTCCTCCTTTTCTCTTGTGGATTTAGAGATTCTGCCATTGCTTTCGCCCTTTTGAATATTTAAATAAATAATAAAAAAAACACATCAGGTCTTATTTACAGCAAAAATCATCACCATTCATAAGAGTAAAATAACAACACATACTTCTTAAAACTTAAAGATATCCAAATATGTTGTATGTATGTTTATTTTCAAAATAATTAAAATAAATATATATGTTCATATAATTAAAATTCATATTAAATGTTTTCATCTCATGTTAGCAATAATCATGGGGGAAAACTTTTTATTTTGAAGGCTGAAATATCCTTGGACAGACTGTGACAGGAATTCAAACGATTTAAATGATATAAAATAAAGGGCTGTAAACATGATGACGCTTTCACTGCTCTGTATTTAGTCAGTCTGCTCATATACTTCATGCTTCTCAAGTCTTTAAGATGTGAGAGAAAATGACAACATACTTTTCGTCTTTTTAGAAGCAAGCAAAATTACATACATTTAATACAACTCTGATATTATTTTAGTGCTGTAACAAAAGACAACTAGCTGAGCATTTGACTCATGATTCCTGGATTGCTCTGTTTTATACCATACACTGAATAAGAACCGAATAAGACCACTAACATTTTTTTCTATCCTATATTTCTATCACATACCTTTGAGTATCAGCTGTCCTCGCATACATCTTGCGTGCAAATGGATAGCTAAACATTTTGTTGTTTAAAGGTAAAAAAGATTTTCTAGATTGTTGGTTTTCAGTTTGCAGATGGTTGGTTTCATTTCACTGAAAGTTTCCACCCAGCTACATCAGTCTCATAGCTCCTCCCATATTTTCTTTATATGGAACAGATTAAGTATTCCTCTTCTATGGATGTGTTTGATACATATCTGTTTTATATTAGGCCATGAAGAAGGTTAACACAACATTTGTTGTTGGGACCATTTGTTAAGAATATCTAATCAGCTGGAAGTAATGTTTGTTTATTAGGTGGCTGGACATACCAGAAGAAAGAGTACTTCTTCAGACAAATAATACTCTAGATCTGCTGGGGGAAGCCATGACTGAAACAATATCAGTTTCATTGCACTTGTTTCTTAGATATTTTTTGCATATGAGAGGGAAAAACTAGAATGTAATCAGTCATGATTTTAACAACAATACAACTTGAAGAATACATATTTAAAGTATGATTTTCCCCCATGTGAATAAAAACATTTTTGTCTTTTTTAAAAAATGATATTATATTATATATAATTTTTATAAACAAAAAAACTCATTTACTATGGAAAAAATATAATAAATAACACTATAAATATCAGATAACACTTTACAAAAAAGTTCAATTTGTTAACTTAAGTTAACTGCATTAGTTACCATGAAATAACAATTCAAAATAATTCTAAAGCATTTATTAATCTTGCTTAATGTTAATTTCAATATATAGTATATATGACTGAAACAATATCAGTTTCATTGCACTTGTTTCTTAGATATTTTTTGCATATGAGAGGGAAAAACTAGAATGTAATCAGTCATGATTTTAACAACAATACAACTTGAAGAATACATATTAAAAAAGTATGATTTTCCCCCATGTGAATAAAAACATTTTTGTCTTTTTAAAAAAATGATATTATATTATATATAATTTTTATAAACAAAAAAACTCATTTACTATGGAAAAAATATAATAAATAACACTATAAATATCAGATAACACTTTACAAAAAAGTTCAATTTGTTAACTTAAGTTAACTGCATTAGTTACCATGAAATAACAATTCAAAATAATTCTAAAGCATTTATTAATCTTGCTTAATGTTAATTTCAATATATAGTATATTATTAAAATGTACTTGCGCTAACATTAAATAACAATGAACAGTTGTATTTTTATTAACTAATGTTAACAAATATGAATGTAACAAATGTATGCTCACTGTAAGTTAATGCATTAACGGACTATAATGGGACCTTATTGTAAAGTGTTGCCCAATTAATAAACAATTAGTGCTATGCTGTTTTATGCCTTTTTAACTAACCAACCATCACAAATATTACAAGGATTCGGAAGGAAACATTTTTGTTTAAATGTCAGTTTATAGAACAATTCTGCTTACAGAAGTATTGCACAATGGGACAGTAAAAAGGATTATTCATTTTGGATGATGATAAAATCATTTATATTAAGATGTGCATAGACAAAAGGCCTTAAATATTTTACAAACACTTGTGCTAAACCAGATACACATCACTGTGTCGTAGATCTGACTAGAAAGGGATCCTCCTTAGATCAAAGTATTAACTTGGATTTTCTATTAACTTTCTCATCCCAATGTCCCTTATTGACCCTAGTGTTGCGTCGACACCTGTGTACAAAACCTCCACGTGACCATACGTGTGGTGACTGCATCTGTATTGTACTGTAAGAATAGCACTATATTATCTATATGCAGTGTTGGGGAGTAACTAGTTACATGTAACGGCGTTACGTAATTTAATTACAAAATAAATGGAACTGTAATCAGTTACAGTTACTAAGAAAAAATGTGTAATTAAATTACAGTTACTTATGAAAATGTTAACGATTACAAAGGGGATTACATTTGAATATTTACACACATCCACATACAGATTTAATTGATTTATTTCCCAAATTGCACTGACTACTCTGAGACATACGGCCCTATAATTTCCGCGATGCGGAAAACACAGACTGGTTCGTAGAATCCAGTCATAAAAACGGAAGTCCTATAGCCTAACGCGGACGGAATATGCCACATTTTGGACGAATACATCAAAAGTAGGTCAGTACACTTGAATCAAAACGCGATATGGACTAGTGTCTGAGAATATTAAGCCGCAAAAAAGACAATATATGAATCCTGTGTAACCTATTACATTTCCAAAGTAACCTTCCCAACACTGTCTACATGGGAGATAAATGAGGTCAAAGTTCAGCATCTATAGAGATAAATAGCTGTGGGAGTGGCATGTGTGCACTGCGCTTTACATTTCTTACCATGTGATTTTTGCCTTCGCCACAATGGCTTTGACAATCGGAGAGCGTGTGCGGTGCTTCCTGCTGGTCCTCGTGCCCAGGCTGTTCCTGGCTCTCTTTAGGCTGGTCTCACCCGGCACAAAGCGACCAAAACATCTCCCTCCAATCAGAAACCCACTGCTTACTCTCTCTGCAGTGCAACTGGCTGAGAAGATACGCAGAAGAGAGGTTTGAGCTTTTCCTTGCAATTAGTTCTGTCACAGCTGAGCATTAGGGATTGTATTTAAAATGAGTGTTATGTCATTGTGATTGAGAGTGATTGAGTTTGTTTTGGGTGCTGGCCTGGATTTATAGTGGAATAATGAATGAAAGATAACCAATAACTGCATCATATCTTGTAAAGAGTACTCTGTGTGTTTTATGTTTAGGTTTCTTTTTGCACATTTAAAGAAAAGCTGTTTCACAAATAACACTGGTTCTATTTTGCCAGGCATCAGTGGCTATAGTGTGCACTACAAGAATGACAGGTCAGCACCCAGCTGAAATGTAACTTGTTGCAGTAACAGTGTCTCTATTCCAAAGGTTTAAATGGCATATATTTCTTAACTGGACTTAAGTAATCTTAGGTTATCTTGTCAACTTTATCATGGATAATTGTCACAAAGGGCTCTGAAGTGCAAATGATCTGGCACAATAAATGTCGATCATGGCTCAATGCCTATGACCTTACGTCCAAAGCTCCTACATGTGGAGAAAATACAGTATATATTACACTGTGCTTTTTCAGATTTTTCTGCTTACTAAATAACAAATGTAAAAATATTATTATTAAATATATTTAAATGTATTATTAAAATCAAGCAGTCTTTAAATTGTAACTAGCAAGTTTGTTTATATTCCAAAGAAAAAAAGCATATGTGACCCTGGACCACAAAACCAGTCATAAGGGTACATTTTTCAAAATTGAGATTTATACATCATCTGAAAGCTGAATATTCAATTCAAGTTTTCAATTCAAGTTTATTTGTATAGCGCTTTTTACGATACAAATCGTTGCAAAGTAACTTTACAGCAAATTAAGTTTCTACAATATTTAGTGGTAGCTTATCAGTGGTGACTGTCAATTAATGTACATATGAAATGAACAAAATGGTAGCAATCGGACAGGTAGGATCTAAACCATCTTAAAGCCTGCCCTTGAATACCTGTATAATTTTGTAATCGATCTAGGAGTATGTCATGATCTATAGTGTCGAACGCAGCACTAAGAATAAATAAGCTTTCCATTGATGTGTGGTTTGTTAGGACAATATTTGGATGAGATACAACTATTTAAAAATCTGGAATCTGAGGGTGCAAAAAAAATCAAAATACTGAGAAAATCGCCTTACTCGCCAATGCATATTACTAATAAAAAATTACGTTTTGATATATTTACGGTAGGAAATTTACAAAATATCTTGATGCAACATGATTTTTACTTAATATCCTAATGATGATTTGGAGCAACGTGATATACACTCAAAAGGTTCAAAAAGGTTCCTTTTTTTCAGTGATGCCATAGAAAAACTATTTTGAACTTCAGAAAACAGTTCTTAAAATAATTATATTTAATAATCTAAATATAATTAAAGAACGGAATGGAAATGTTCTATGGATGTTAAAGGTTTTTCATGGAACCAAAGATGCCAACAAGGAACAATTTTCAAATGAGATATGAAACATATGAGAACATATTTAGTAAACTTACTAAAAATTATTAGTATCCAAAGCCAGTAATAACACTTTAGACTACAGGCGGGGCAAAATATATTAAACCCAATGTTTAACGGGCCTCTGATAATGTAAGTGCTTGTAAGTCCTCAAACAACATCACTACACTTACAGATTCACCACTGCAGACTGAACTAGACTAAAAGAACCAGCAATTCTGTGTTTTGCCATGGTCTTTTGTAATATTGAGTATTAATCTATTTGATTTGTAAGTTTAGGTTACTAGTGTAGAGGTTGTGCAGGCCTACATTGATAGGATACAGGAGGTGAACCCACTGCTCAATGCTTTGGTCAAAGACAGGTGAGCACTTGCTTTAGTGAGGCATAACAATGTTAATACGTGACTGTACAGGACATTTCACTATAAGTGTACCCTGTCCTCTCTTTCAGGTTCTCAGTCGCCATTCAGGAGGCCGCTCGTGCAGATAAACTAATAGAGGAGGAGAATGGAGGAGAGGAAGTTCTGAGGAACCGATTTCCTCTGCTGGGAGTTCCTCTGTCTGTCAAAGAGTCATTCGCTCTACAGGGTACACTTCCCATAATGCTCTCTGCCTTGCATGTATCAGTATCACCCTAAAGAGGTTTATTTTGAGATTCATTCCTGCTTATTCAAGTTTTCAATTCAATTCAAGTTTATTTGTATAGCGCTTTTCACGATACAAATCATTGCAAAGCAACTTTACAGCAAATTAAGTTTCTACAATATTTAGTGGTAGCTTATCAGTGGTGACTGTCAGTTAATGTACATATGGCAGAAATGTATGGAAAAATCAATTAAAGACGTAATCAAACAGACGATGAACACTATTAACAGCAATTATCATATGATGAAATCAAACTTATAGCAAGTGTTTCTAAGATGGAAGAATGCTGTTTTTGTAACATGGGAAATATGATTTTCAAAAGACAAGTTGCTATCTAATATAACACCCAGATTTTTGACTGTAGAGGAAGTAACAGTACATCCGTTTAGTTGCAAATTGTAATCCAAAAGATTCTGTGTACTGTCTTTTGGTCCAATAAGTAATATCTCTGTCTTATCCGAATTTAATAGGAGAAAATTATTGGTCATCCAATCTGGATGATCAAATGACTGTTCACTAAAAATATAACACATGGACATAAAACATTTATTTGAATGGTTATAATGTTTCCTATCAATATTACTATCAATTGTATTAGTAAAGGCTGCTTGTTGATCCAGGATGGATACATTTTTCCCACACTCCTCTACTGCTCACTCATAGAGACAAGCTTGATAATTATAGAACTGAAAAGGATACTAGAAATGATATTGATTCATGTTATCTGACTGCTGCAACAGGTATGCCCAATTCTGGCGGGTTGAAATCCCGCGGTAAAGTACTTGCCAGTGTGGATGCTCCTCCTGTGGCTCTGTTGAAGAGAGCTGGAGCAATTCCTCTGGGAGTCACCAACACCAGTGAGCTTTGCATGTGGATGGAGTCCAGCAACCACCTCTATGGGATCACCAGTAACCCCTATGACCTCGAGAGGATGTGTGGAGGAAGCTCAGGTCTTGCTAAAAAAAAATCAGAAAAACAGCTTTTTATAAACCTTATATAAATTGACTGTACAAAAATTAGACTGCATTAGTCAATGATTTTGCACTCATGTTCCGGTTTATGTTGAAAGGTTGACAAAACATATACAATATTATTGTAATAAACACCAATTCTTTCTCTGGTAGGTGGAGAGGGAAGCATCATTGGTAGTGGTGCATCTGTGATAGGCATCGGTTCTGACATTGGAGGAAGTATCCGCCTGCCATGTTTTTTCAATGGGATATTCGGCCATAAACCTTCAAAAGGTATGCGTTTTGCTGTGGGAACAATCAGCAAAAAACACAATAATCTTTCTGTTAGTAGGGAAAAAATCTGTATAGCTCATAAAGAGCAGAGGCGGACAGTAACTAAGTACATTTACTTAAGTATTGTACTTAAGTACACTTTTCGAGTATCGGTACTTTACTTGAGTATTATTTTTTCTGGGAACTTATGACTTTAACTTCACTACATTTGAAAGACAAATATTGTACTTTTCACTCCACTACATTTCTATCTGTACTTTCACTCAAGTAATGGAGTTGAGTACTTTGTCCGCCTCTGATAAAGAGAGAGAGTTTTATTACCTTTTAGATGTGGTGTCAAATGACGGTCAGTTTCCTTCATGCACGGGGCTCCAAAATGACTACTCAGGTTCTGGTCCAATGTGTCGCTACGCTGAAGACCTGCTCCCTCTTCTGAAGATTATGGCTGGACCCACTGCAGACAAGTACATCTGACAAAGAAATAAACCAGATAACACAAATATCATGTTTCTACAAGTCAGTTCTGACACCAAGTATATATTTTCTATAGGCTCTCCCTCTCAGAAGAGGTGGATCTGAAAAAGTTTCGTTTCTTCACTGTAGTAGATGATGGTGGATCTCCACTGACATCTCCAGTAGATAACCAGCTCATTCAAGCTCAAAAAAGGGCGAGAAGAACATATAATACATGCATAACATAAATAAGCATGAATGCTTCTGTAATCAGTTGCATTGCTGAATATATGCAAAGTACTTTATTTGAAAAGTTTGTTTTTTATTGTTTCTGATCACAGGTGGCTGCACGCTTAGAGGCAGATCTGGGAGTTAAGGTTAAGGAAGTTAGTTTTCCTCAACTCAAATACTCTTTTCAGATCTGGGACACATTCTTGGCTCTACCTGACAAAGATGGCAAGGTGTAGTAGGCCTACCTGATGTTGCCTTGACATTCAATTTATTAAAGGTTGTATCAAAAGGTTGTAGCAACCACAAGTGCTTATAACAACAAAAGTAGTACACTCAGAGAATTAGAGCAAGTTTGAGTGTGCGTTTGTGTTTATTCCAGCCTCCACAGCCTTTTGTTGAGCTAATGGCAGATGGAGGCTCTGTGTGGCCTTTTTGGGAGCTGATAAAGAGGATTTTTGGAAGATCTGAACACACTGTGGCTGCTATTGGTAAACTCAAACCAGTATTATTTTAGTATTTCATTGAGATACTACTAGTTTTTATCAGTATTTTGAATTGGCTTTTATTTGTATATTTCCAGTGTTTAATTAAATTTTAAAGTTTGTCATTTTATTGTGCATTTTTGTCATTTTTATTTTTGTAGTTTATTTTAAATTAATTTTAGGTTTTAGCTAAATAAAAATATGAAATGCTAAAAATAATTTAACGTTTTTGATATTTTACTCTTTTTCAGTTAATATTTTATTTCAAGTAACTAACATGTTTTTATGGTTTTAGTTCTAATTTAATCATTCTGACTCTAAAACTGATGTATATACTGTATAGTTTTTAGGGAAACAGTAACGTTTTAACTGTGGTTGCTCAGAGTTATTGGGATAATTAGGTCCTGTTCTGTTCTTGTCCTTAAAATGTCTTTCGAACTAACAACCTGGAGGAGACTTAATGCTGGACATGTTTTTCTCTTGTGGCTGATTTCAGGTTTGGCTCTGATGGAGAGTTCGCACAGCTCTAAGCCATCTCAGTTCATCCTAAAACAAATGGAAGAACTGCAGAAAGAGATGGAGGATCTGCTGGGGACAGATGGAGTGCTGCTGTACCCCTCTCATCCTCTACTCGCACCCAAACACCACCATCCCCTTTTTACTCCATACAACATCGGTTACACAGGTAACGATTGCTTAAGCAGTCATTTTAGTGGATTTGCAAAGAGAAGTTACTAAATATATCAGGAGCCATTGTAAGAGTGGTCAAACAGGAATAGACTTTTAATAGATGTTTAAGTTTAAAATCAGTATAGTTGCAGCAAGGCTAATCAATAACAAATGTGTGTAACAGTAGTAGATGGAGCAAAGAAAACGACAATATATTTGAAAACCATTTTACCCATTTCTATAGGGATCCTGAACATCTTAGGCCTGCCGGTGACCCAGTGTCCACTGGGTTTGAGTAAGGAGCGATTGCCTTTGGGCGTTCAGGTGGTGGCTGGGAAGCTTCAAGACCATCTGCCTTTGGCTGTGGCGCTCTACCTAGAGAAGGCTTTTGGAGGCTGGGTCGATCCTGGAATGGCTTAAGCACTGAAGACACTGGAGGAAATGCTGGAACTATAGGCATGACATAGCATGTAAAAAGACAATCTCAACCAACACTGCTTCATCCAGTTCATTTAAAGGGACAGGCACCCAAAAAATCATGTACTCATGTCTCGTATCGTTTCAGACCTTTAAGACTTTCTTCTATGAAATACCAAAGATATTTTGTAGAATGCTGGTAACCAAACAGTTTTGGTGCCCATTGAAACATTTCTCAAAATATCTTTTATGTTTCACAGAAGAAAGTAAGTCACAGAGATTTGGATCGACATGAGGGTGTGTAAATGACGGCAGAAATAGTTTTTGGGTGAACTATCCCTTTAAAACAAATAAGTGGTTAAAAAGCTATGGCCTTTTTTAGTTAATATTTAGACATGACTTGCAAAATAGTGTAATCATTTTAGCAGATCTATACAAGCAGATTTATTAACAAATATGAACAAGAGGAAAATGCATTCTGGGCTTTTCTAACTAGTTATTTGCATCCTACCTGATTTCAGCCAAACACAAGGACACTGTGTAACAGGTATGCTGAATGTTGTCTTTAAGGTATTCTTGTATTGAAAAAGACCCTGTCATTAAGTGTAGTCAATGTGAGATGGGCAGAACACATTTTCACTCAATTAAAAAAATTATTGTTATTGCCATTGCATACTGAATGTAACAAAACCATACAAATAGCTTCGAGTTAAGGCGTATATTGACTTAATTTTAAATCATTTGTAGAATAAGTCTTAAATTAAACCTTACTGTCTAAACATTCAGCTGGAATCGCTTTTCCACTTAAAAAATGTATTGTACCAACGATTACTTGTTTCAGAATTCATACAGAATTCGCCACCTATGTCATTAAAATCTGTTCAACATTTGTGTCTTAGATTTTGCACACAAATAAAATGTAAAAATAACTAGCAACAACTAGAAGGTTTTTTAGAAAGGCAGTGATTCGGTTGTGACTGGTTGTGCAGTGCAACATAAATACAATATTATTTACACTAAAGCTTCAGCAAACGACTCATTCAAATCTGGACACCTTTTCATTTATTTCTTCCTTTTAAAAAAAAAAAAAAACGTTATTGAAGAGTACTAAACAAAAAATAACCTGTTTTACACTGTTTATTGTTTTCATTTTTTTTTCCGTTCAAGGAGGAACGTGAAAACGTTTTAAACCTTCTCAGTGTGAAAACACATGGACAGATTTTTTTGTTTCGTTCATAGGACACTGTAATAGTATGTTTGTACCCTTTTAAGATCTCTTAATAACATGTCAATCAAAAGTAGGTTAAGACACAAACTAACAAGCCCCGCCTCAATTTTGCCTCATTTCCCAGACACTAAGAAATCTGAAATGGGCCTAAAAATGAGAGACGATACAAACATTAACAAAAAGATAAAGAAAACAGTCTTATAAGAGGTCCCTGTCTTTGGCAACGCAGGAAAAGAGATAGGACATGAGGTCAACCAAACAGGAACTCCTTTTCAACTGTCTGAAACCAATATCCAGAAATTCACTAGCGCATATTCCCAATACACCTCAGAATTTGGCCCGTAAATATGTACAGCGCATGTACATGAAATTTGTATTTTAAAGCACTCCTCAGGTGGCGTTGAAGAGGGGTGTGTGAATGTATACATATGTGTCTATGTAAACGCGCTGAGCAAGTGTGTGTGTGTGTTTGTTAACCCGGTCCTCCTCAGGAGACATTGGTTATGGGTTTGTATTTCTTGAGGCGGGTCCATTGCCCAGTAGAGTAGTTCATCTCAAACACTGTGTCCACCAGCATGGTGGTGCTGCCGGTTCCGTCCGCTTTAGGCAGTACTTCTGTGTGCTCGCTCAGTTTGATCTGAATGATGTCACCCTGCTCTGGACAGGGGTTTTCTGTTGGGAGGAAGGGACAGACAAATATTAGAAGGGTCATTTAGAAAATAGAGGAACAGTAAGTAACAGTAAAAAAAATCTGATAAAATCAAACCCATAATACCTCGAGATCCTGCCATGAAGCCCAGGATGAGGGCTTTTTCTGGCCGTGTAACTTTGTTTGCGGTCTTGAACATTTCTTGCGCAGCATACATCTGTTCTCTCTGTGGGGAACCAAACATGCAAGATAAAAATTTTACTTCCCAGACTGTAAACTATGATTCCAAAGTTTGAGGTTAGTATGACTAAAATGAATACTTCTATTCAGCAAGGATGCATTAAATTGATCACAAGTGACAGTAAAGACATTCATAACAAAATAATTCTATTTCAAATAAATGCTGTTTTTTTACTTTCTATTCATCAAAAAATCTTGGAAAAAAAGTATCACCATAAAAATATGAAAACATACTGTAAAATATTAAAATATATATAAAAAGTAGCACAACTGTTTGCACCAAATCAGCATATCAGAATGTTTTCTGAAGGACCATGTGACACTGACTGAAAATTCAGCTTTGCTATCACAGGAATAACTGACATTTTGAAATATTTTTTAATTGAAAACAGTAATTTTAAATTCAAATAATATTTCACAATATTACTGTTTTTACTGTAGTATTACCCAATTAAAAGTCCTCTTTTTTTTTTTGCATAAACCCAAACTTTTGAATGTCAGATTCATTGTCATTCTCAGTGTCAAAGGCTATATTAAGGGCACAAAATTACAATTTAACTTCTGAAATTCTACAATTTTCTCAAAACACCTATTAATGAAATTTCTGAATAAAAGTGTTGTCTAGTAACATTTAAAGGTGACATATCATGAAAATCTGACTTTTCCAGGTTTTAAGTGCTATTATCAGGTCCCCTACCAACCAAGGAAACGTGAAAAAGATGAACCCAGTAACTTTGTTTTGGGAAGCCTTTTTGTGCAAGCGTCTGAGAAAACGAGCGCGTTTGATTTTGCTCACTTGGTGACGTGGCAAAGGGATCTCATTATAATATTACCAGCCTCCCCTTAATCTGTAAGTTTACACCCACGGTGCCGTTATTGTGTTTTCGCAAGCGACAACGGTGTATTAGTTCTAATGCCATGGCGAAAGTTTGAGCAAAACATGCTAACTGTTCTGT